CCCCAAAACCCCAAAACCCCAAAACCCCAAAACCCCTTTTTAACGATAAATATTTGAAGCTAAAATATTAACGGAAGATGTTCACCAATTCTAAGGCTGGCAGGCGAAGGAGGAATCTCAAGAGCTCAGCACCTGCTAAGACTAGAAGTAACAGCAGGAAAGGAGTCAAAACTGGACATAAGCAGATAAAGACGATTGATAACTCCAGAGTTTAGCAATGGATCAAGGAAGGATCTTTCTTCTCACAAAAAGTCTATGAAAAATATGCATGATACTAATAGGTCTCCTCTCAGATCTCTGAACTGTCTCAATGAAGGGAACCCTAATAATTCTCAGGTTTTTGGAAGCCAAAAGAAGTTGGCTACAGAGGAATATTTTAGGTATGTCTTCCTTAATCATTCTATAGAGGTCTTAAAGAGCATTACAAAATAATAAATGTTAATAATAAGAAAGAAAATTCAGTGATCGAATTCCCATATGAGCTCAAGAACTTCCTGGAGAGAGGAATTGATCTTGATGAATATGAGCCTATTGGAGACCAGGACAAGGAAAGTCAAAAAGTATGTCCGGTTCACAAAGTTTTAGAAGCAATTAATTACTATAAATATGAAGAGGATCAGGAACTCCAATAGTTCTAAACAAAGTTTTAAGATTTTGTCATGGAATCCATGCGGGAATTTCAAAAGGAGGAAATCCAAAATGAATGAAGATCCTAAGCGGAATACTCTAAAGAAGGTCATCCAAAATGGTATTAGTCAGGTAATAATCTTCATAGTCTCCTCTCATAATAAACCTGAAGGGTGAAAGTCTACTAATTCTGAGTTTAAATAAAGAAAATCATGTATCGAATGGGAACCATAAGAAGAAAAAGTAAGCTAGATTCTAAAATTTATACTCAGATCTAGAAGCAGAAAGAAGAAGCTCAGCCATAATTCTCTAATTTCTTTAACTCTCAAGATTGATACGAATCGTGTTCGAAGGATCCAGTCAGCAAGTGCTCGAAGGAAGAGTAATGAAAGGAGCTTTGGGCGTCCCTAAGAGCTCTAAATTCTATAAAATGTACTTGAAATTCTAAATTCTAGGGATCCATCTCAGTCAAGGCACGAAATCCCTCAGCTGAAATATGACATGGTGTTTGACGACTGGTGATACAAGAAGGAGATAGGTAATCCTCGAATAACCCTAATAGAGCAGGAGATTAAATACAAGCTACTCTTAAAGATGAGAAAGGAACTCAGCCAGGAAATCTCAACAAAATAGAGATCTTCACAATAAAGAGACCAGAGGTAGGGCCAAGAAAATGGAAAAATGGCTCACAAGGAAAAAGCGTGAGTTGTCCCAGAAATAAAAAGATGCAGAAATCTACAAATGCTTTGGTATAAAACCTGGGATGATATTTTAGAAGAGAATACAAGACCGAGACAGAAAGGAAATGAACAAGAAAGCTTTCAACAAATGGCTCAGGAAGTCAATGGGAGACCTAAAGCTAGAGAGACGGAAGACGAAAGAGATTCAAAGAGAGAAGCAGAATGACAATCTTGAACGTCAACAGTAAGGAGAATGGATGATCTCTTAGGGAACAGAAGAAAATTCAAAGTGAAATAGCATTCAAGCAATGGGTTAAAGGCAAACGTATTCAGAAGAGTAAGGAAAAGAAAGTAAATCGAGATTTGTCTCAATAAAAATCTCTCAAAGGAAAGCTGCAATAACTTCCTTTATGATTGATAACTCAAGAATAGAGGTAAGACTCTTCTCAGATCTCTAAATCAAAGATTCATCTTTCATAGTATAGGAGGAGAGAAATGCTCAGATAATAATTTAACTCAAACCTCAGTTTTTTCTAAAATTAATGGGGTTTTGGGGTTTTGGGGTTTTGGGGTTTTGGGGTTTTGGGGTTTTGGGGTTTTGGGG